AGGCAAGCAGTGCGGCGCGTCGTGCCCTGGGAATCGAGACTCGCAGCGCCGTGGCCACAACAGCAGAACCCGCTCGCTGTCGCCTTTCGCCGCTGGCTGCCTCGGCCTCTGGAGCGCCGGTTGCCAAGGTCCGGTGCCGTACACGCCCTCGGACACGCGCGTCCGCCCCGCGCCGACGCCCAGTCCCTTCTCTCCCTCCCTTCTCTCCCTCCCTGTCCCTCCTCCTTTCTTCCCTCCTCTCCCCTCCCCGCCACTCGCTTTCCCTCCCTGTCCCAACCTCCCCTCCCTCTCTCCTCCCCTCCCTCCCCTGCTCCTCTCCCCCCGTCACCCTCTTCCTTCTTCACTCTCCCCTCCCTGATGCAGTCGCCAGTGCGCGCAGACGTCGAGCGTGTGCTGCTCGGGAGGTATCAATACTTATTGATGGTTTCGGAGGGTGCGGGGTCCTCGTGGACTTGCTTAGAGGCTTCTGGAACAGTAGCAACACGACCAACTCCCCTGCTCCTCCCCCTTCGTGCGACAAAAACAGAATCGTCTTCTTGTGCAAGAGCAGATGGCCACGCCATTCGGCTGGGATTAGCGACATCATCGACCTTCTTCTTGGTCCCTGCGCGCACACACGCGCCCAGACTAAGCCAGGATACGACATGCCGAATGTTTCTCATGTGCAGCGCACTGCGTTGGGCACGCGCATTTCAATCTGCATTCCCTGGAGTCACCTTGTCGGTAAATGAAACTCCTCCTCCTCCTCCTTCTCACCCTTCTCGTCCCTTCTCTTTCTCCGCAACCATGTTCAAACCCACAAAATATGCTTACGGCTTCTCAACGTGACCTGTCGCAACTATAGAAATTCGCCGGCCCAACGGGCCAGAGGCGTGCTAAGATCTCCGGTGACTGCTTTACAATCTTTCTACTTCGCGCGCGCGGGGCGGCCCCTGGGGGCCCCCGGGCAGAAAGTACCCCGGCAAGGTCCCGAGAGAGTCCCGGGAGGAGTCACCAGGGCGCTCCAGCAGCGCACCAACGCGGCTCCGAGACGTCCCCGAGAGCCCCAAGAAGGGCCAAGAGGCTTCCAAGAGGCCCCCAAGATGCTACATGAGGGGTCCGAGATGCCACAAGATCGCTCCAAGACGCCCACGATGGCCCCCAGACGCCCCAAGAGGCCTCCAAGAGCACTCCCGAGAGGGCCCCAAGAGGCAAAATTCACTGCTTTTCCTTAGGTTTTGGAGAGATTTTGGCGTTTCCACCTTTTCGGCTTCACGACACCCCAAGACGGCCCAAGAGGCCCCCAAGACCGCCCCAAGAGGGCCCAAGAGGCCCCCAAGAGGGCCCCAAGACGGCCCAAGAGGGCTCCAAGACGGCCCAAGAGGCCTCCAAGACGGCCCAAGAGGGCCCCAAGAACGCCCCAAGAGGGACCCCAGGGGGGGAACACGAAACAATATTTCGAGCCCTCGGCCCTCAGAAGTCCCCAGGAGGCCCCAAGAGGCCCCTAAGAGGCCCCAAGAGGCCCCCAACAGGCCCTCAGGAGGCCCCCAAGAGGCCCCCAAGCGGCCCCAGGAGGCCACCCAAATGCCCCCCCGAGCACGCAAGCAAGTGCCAGCGACGCTACACTATGGGCCGGCGGAATGAGCGAAGCGATTCAATAATAGACAAACGCAACCGAAACTGCCGCTCTGCGGCGAAAATGGCGCTGCCAAAGCAAAACGGTACCATACACCCTGATGCCCACGCCTGGACACTCCGCGGCAATAAATGCGACATAGCGGTGGAACACATCATATTGAGAGAAATGCATCTGTGCCAAAGCAATGGAAGTCCCCACGTCGCGTATGCGGCTGTTCATCTCGGCCTCCCACATCTGCGGGCCGGTCGGATAAGCGTCACCGGCAAAGCGGCAGAGTGCGACATCGGACGCTCGGCAAGGAAATCAACAACCGCCAAGTGTGGTTGCGGCGGGAAATCCACGATGTCCATGATGCGCGCGGGCGGAGGATTGACTCAAGGAACCGGGGAATGCACTTCTAACAATGCATGTTTAAAGAGTCTATTGTCTGTGCCCATGGTCTGTCCGCCCGCCATCCAAAACCTCAACGCCAGGGGCTGGTGCAACGAGCTCCGATGGCTGTCTCTGCTGGTGCCTGGCTACGCTTAGGTCGGGCATGTCCTCTTACAGGCGGAGTTTTGATGAACAATGAAAAATACCTCAAGATTAATCCCACATCATCAAAAATGGGTGGACAAATCGTCGCCATACTATTGGTTGACTATTTTTGATGTCTCTCCGTGCGGAAGGACATGCCCGACTTAAGGCTACACCACCTAGAGTGTCAGAGCGCGGCCGGCGACGCGGCAACTAGGCGGAGGCTCGAGTGCGCTCGCCTCCCCTTGCCAATGAACTAGGTGTCCTCCTCAACGCTTCGGGTCCTCCTCGTCCTCGTTCTCTTCCTCCCCCTCTCGGGGGCGCGCAAACATGGATTAGCGATCCATGGATCTGGCGCGCGGTCGC